CCTCTGTTTGATCTGAGTTGTGGCCAAGTAACAGTATCCCCAGCTTGTCCTCCCTCCCACGCACCCACCCCACCCTGCATCTGGCATTGGAGATGAGACATTTAAAAGCCCTTTTTCTCCCTGAGTTCTATTGTCTGCAGACCTCACCTCCCACTCTGCTAGGTGGAGGGAGAGGGAAAAGCAGATAGTGATCCTTTTTCCCCCCTGACAAATTCATTTAAAAACACAGGCACACACACACATAACACACACAATACAGGATTCTGTAGATCTGTAATCAATCAACTCCACTCTCTCCTGGCTTCCAGAGAAGCAGGGGCTAAAACTGATTCCCAAATACTAAATTCTAAGCTCCAGCAATCCTCTAAAAGGTTTGATGGGCATTACACGTCTAATTATTCCAGTATCTTTCCAAGTTGTTCAGGAAGGTCAAATGTTGGGAAACACTATGTTTTCTCTTGTTCCAGTCTTGAGTCACCTGTTCACTTCTTGGGAATTCTGCCTCTCTCTCACACACACCCCTCTAAAACTGATAGGCAAGCAATTCTACTAGGAACTTCCCTCCCTGCCAGGGAGCTGATTGGAAAGTCCTGAGCTAGCAGTGAATGCCCTGCAGTGTCAGGGCTGAGAGAATAGCACTGCTTCTGGAAGGAAAGGGCCACACTAGCGCAGAGGCTGGTGAGCAGAGGAGGAAAGGAAAAGGAGGTAAAGGCGGCCTTGCAACCACTGGGAATATGGCCTATGCTAGGCTAGGAAGAGAGATTAGATTCATTTCTGGGCAACCACTAGCAGGTAGCAGAGCTGTTTAAAGATGGGCTCAGATAGTTGCCAGGGTGACCCCTGGAAGCATTATCAGTGAACTAAAAGTAAGGACATTCGTTGAGGGCTTCCTTTGTGCCAGGTCTCAATGTTTCATAGGCATTAGCTCACCTTTTCCCTCTTAAAAGCAGCTGTTCTCAAGGTGTGCTCCCGGCCAGCAGCAACCTCTCCGGCCCACCCTAGACCAGCAGAATCAGGTCACGGTCAGAAAAGAAGGTCAGCAACTTGGGTTGTGATTCTGCTGCTGATTGTCATCCACGTTTGAGAATTATGGCTCCAAGGCTGGCCATGGTTGAACCTAGTTTGCTCTATTTCTCCAAATTGTCTGACCAGAGAACCCTTAGATTCTGCTCGGATCCGGCAGAAACACTGCCGGGAAAGGTTGGCCTAGTTGAAATGACTCTCTCTTCTGTGCTCTCATTGCTTTTTATTCAAACAACAAGTCCTCTACGTACTTAAATCACACGCCTCATTGAATTAAAATTCTACCCTCATGTCACCTCTTTTAATAAGGAAGCTTTTTGAAAAACACATGTAGTCAACTTTCTCTCCCTGCTATAGGCGAATAGCTTCAAGGAAATCTTAACCCATGGCCACTGAGTCAATTCTGACTCGACACTATGTAAGAGTAGAACTACCCCTTTTGAGTTTCTAAGATGTAAATCTTTCTGGAAGCCGATAGCCTTTCTCCTGAGGAGCAGCTGGTGAGTTCAAACTGCTGCTGGCTTTGGGGTTAGCAGCCCACTGTACCACCAGGTCTCCAGTAGCCATCGGCTGGGTTAAGGAGCCCTGACTGAGCACTGGGCGGCTAACCATCAAGGTCAGCGGTTCAGACCCATCAGCTCGCTGTGGGAGAAAGCTGAGGCTTTCTGTTCCCATAAAGACTTACAATCTCAGAACCCTAAGGAGCAATTCTCCTGACAGGGTCCCTGTGGGTTGGAACAGACTCCATGGCGGTATTACCATTTATGAGGCAAACTGACCCACCGGGACCTCATTGGACAGAGAACCGTCCCATCTTTTCTAACGCTGTCCATCTTTCAGGGAGTTGACTCTGTCTTTCTTCCACCGAGCAGCTGGTGGGTTTGAACCACCAACTTTCTGGTTAGCGGCTGAGTACTTTAACCATTGTGCCAACAAGACATCTTTCTTAGCCAGTGGGATCCTTCTTGTTGTTGGTGCTAGAATTTGATTTTGTGCACCTAACTTGTTTTATGAATAAGTACACTTTTTAGGGGGGGGAGTGATAGAGGAAAGGATATCTTTTAATTTTGAAATAACTTTTAACTGCTAGTGTTACAATAGAACCCTCATAAACCTTTCAACCAGATTCCCTGCCAACATTTTAGTGTTTATCACTCTGTGTACATACATGCATCTGTATGCATATATGCTCATGCATGTCTTTCCCCTTGAACGATGTGAGACTATGTTACGGATACCGTGTCCATTTTGGTGCTACCCGGTAAGCACTGGCCTGCTAACCCCAAGGTCAGTGCTTCAAAACCACCAGCTGCTCAGGGGAGGGAGATGAGGCTGTGTGTCCCTGTAAAGATGTAGTCTTGGAACCCGACAGTGTCACATCAGTTGGAATTGATTCGAAGGCAGTGGGGTTTTGTTTGCTTGTTTTGACTTCAATACATGGTCCTTAAGAATAAAGACAGTTGCGGGAGCGGGGAGGGAGGGGAAAAATGAGGACCTAATGTCGGGGGTTTAAATGGAGAGAAAATGTTTTGAGAAACGATGTACAAATGCGCTTTACACAATTGATGTGTGTATGGATTGGGATAACAGTTGTATGAGCCCCTAATAAAATGTTAAAAAAGGAAAAAAAAAAAGAATAAAGACAGTCATTTTCAAAATGATAGTATAAAGATCAAGTTAAGAAACTAACATTGATTTAATACTATTCTCTAATGTAGACTTTGAGTTTTGCAAATTGTTCTAAGATTCTTTATAGCAAACAAACAAACAAACAAAACCCAAAACTAATTTTTTTTTTTTCTGGTCGAAGCACCAATCCAAGATCATGTATCAATTGCATTCACTGTAAACATCCTGAAGGAGCTAAAAAAAAAAAAAAATCTATAATTGAATACATAAATCTATGTAAACTGATATAAAGGGGAGCTTGATTGCAAACTACAAGATTAAGTTCCTTTCTGTGGGTATCTGTAAATCCATCAGAGCTGGAGGCCCACACCTGCAGCTCCACAGGAAATGGGACACCACCCAGAATCAGTAGGCAGGACAGAGGAAAGGGAGACGAGTGGATGACCAGATCTGACAAGACGCCCGTATGCAGCTCTGTGGCTCCGTTCTGGTGGTTCTGGTACTGAGACAAGCCATCCAAATGATGTCACTGCTGTCATCATAGGACTGTTGGCTCTGTTGGCTAAGTATTGGGATTGCTAACTGCATGGCTGATAAACTAGTTCAAACCCATCAGCCACTCTGTGAGAACAAGATGACACTACCTGCTCTTGTCAAGATCCCGAATCTCTGAAACCTATGTAGGCTTGCTACATGTGTGCATGGACTTGATGGCAGTGGGTTGGGTAATCATAGGCAGCTTGAGAAGTAGAAAAGGGCTCCCCAGGCGCCCGGCTGGGAAATCTCCAGAACAACTTAATTCTTCTAGCCTTTCTGTCCTATTGCCATTTTCAAGTCACCATCAAATTTTCCTTAAGATGATGTAGGGCAATGAGAGGACAAAAACATGGGCAGTCAGCCTGAGCAATGAGGTCACGATTGAAAGGAAGCAGGCAGACAAGTGAGTACTTGGACTGAAAATGAAATGCGTCCTTAGTGTTCTTTAAATAATCTAATGCTACCACGCATCAGGAGTTCCATCTATCTGCAAGCAATCATTATCTACGAGGGGGACGCTCTCCCGATCAAAACCCTGGCGTCCCCAGTGCTCTCCTTTCTTGGTTGACTCTTGAGAATCATGGAGAATCCCAAGCACTGTGAGTCAGCATGCAGAGGCCTTGGTTAGTGTGATCCTTGAATATTCGTTTCAGTCTTTCAGGGGGCCAGCAGGACTGAATAGGTCTGTCCTTTTAAAAATTGAGACAAGTGAATGCAAGGTTTAATGTCTTTAACTTCGGCCTATGTATTAGTATGGAGCACTAAATAAAGCCCTTTCCTTTTGGACTACAAAAAAAAAAAAAGAAGAACCCCGAGCATTAAAAGGCACATGCAAAACCAGTAAATGTCCACAAAACGAATATTCAAATCTTACAGGGGCATTCTGTACAGGGGATGGAAGCGCCTTTAGAGATCATTTTGGCCAGTGATTGGCCACATTTCATTTTCGGCAGCGGAACTTCTCCCATGCGTGGAGTCTAATAACAGAAAGCACACAAGTAAAAATGCCAGAGCAGAGGACCCTAGGGTTCCATTAGGGGATCATGAAATGCTTGTGCAAAATACTAACTGCACAACTCCAGTGGTTACCATGTACCTCCTAGAGTCGCAGATTTGCATAGTTATTAGTAAGACAATCTTCCAGCAGATGGCAGCAGTATCTTGAAGGGGAGGTTTTCATACTCTGCACAAACATCCGTATGTTGACTGACAGGAGGACTCACCTGAGCTCATGCAACACTCAATACCCTTTCTTTCTCAAGTCAAAGCTTTCCAATCCATTCCCTGGCGTGACACACATAGAAGATGCTGCTGTCGGGAAGACTCTGGTAGAGCCAGGAAGTGGCTCTGAAGGCCCCACCTGGGAGCCCCATGGGCTTAAGCAGATTAGCATGCCCTCACACACACAATGCTATAGAGAACAATTTGAAAACTGCTGATTGAGTGATTCGATTGGTCCAATTATTTTGTTTTACAAATGGAGGTACTGAGATTCAGAGAGGGTAAATTATTCAAGGCCACAAACCTAAAAGTGAATTGAGCACAGGTCTCCTGACTCCTTCCACAGTGTTCATCCCAGTGTGTCTACATGAAAACACTTGATATTACATGTCTGCCAGCTAAAACAGGGTGCCTTATTGCTGCATAATTCCATAAACAGCATGACAGGAACACCGACAAGGTGAAGATCAAGAGAAAAAACGGGAAAAAACACTGACTATACCTCTTCTTGGGCACTACCATTCCTCTAACGATTTAAGTAGCTCAGGGCACAGGAAATTGATCATACTGAACCAACTATATGTCAACAATGGGTTTTAAAAAGATCAAGCTTTATTACTTCGTTTTTGGCATCACAGTCAACAATTCATGGAACTGCACATGTCACTCAAGAGTACTAGTGAACAACCACCCACCCATCCACATACATGCTATTCTGTGAACAGAGGAAACCATCTATGGTTGCTCCCTCTGATTAAAAAATCACAACAGCCTCATCTCTTAGCTGAACAATCAAGCTCCAAATTTTCAGTGGCTCTAGTCAGGCAAATTTATCATCTTCTATTACACAGACCACATCAAAAATAATAATGCAAATTTATCATCTTTCATTACACAGAACACATCAAAAATATAAGGACTCTCAATTCCCCCTTAATAGCTTTATTTAACCCTGATTCATTACTTATAGATACTGAAGTCTTATATAATGCTGAAAACCCCATCTCAGCCCATCTATCTTATTGCAAACTGAAAAACAAAAAATGGTACGTGCATCCCTAGCACTCAGGGGCCGTATGTAAAGCATGAAGGCGAAGAGTACTTGTCAGTTCAACAGAACCTGTGCTAACAGTGCTCCCCCCAGGCGCGTGGCCATCCTGATGGAACCTGGGACGTCTGTCTGCATCACGCCTTTTCTCTGGCTTTACAAGTACTTCACAAGCCGAGAAAGGCACACCAACCACAACCCACACGTATTGTACAGATTTAGGTCTCCACTATTAAATTACATTGAAATAGTTAATCTATGAAAGGGACCACAAGAGTCTGCTTCTCCTGGAAATTCATTTGAACCGGAGTGGGGAATGTGGGGAGGAGAGTGAAAGTGGTGGACCCATTTCTGCCAAGTTAAATAGTAAGGTATAAATTATTTTCTGAAAGGTACTAGAGCCAAGGGAAATAAAGGATGGCACTGGGTGCTACGTGCCTCTTCTTATAACTCTTCTCCTAAGTTTCACTGACCCAAGAAAGGGCAATTCCATTGATTCTGTTACCACGTGAACCCCATGAGGAGCTACCAAGTCTAAGAGCACTCCTAGAGTTTGTGGCCTCAAGGTTCAAATATACAAAAACATATGTTGGCAGATCTCTAAATCTGACATGATTTCTCCTGGCGATCGCTGTCTTCAGGTGCTTTTTTTTTTTTTATTGCCACTTTGCATATAGAACAACAGAAGGGGGGCACAGGTGATGGAGCTGACATCAGGAGCGCCAGAAGGAGGAAGTCAGGAAGCCCTTGGGGAGAGGAATCTCCTTGCGTTGCAAACATTTCTGGTCAGGAAAAGATAAACAAAAGAGAATTATTTTCTGATAAGTCTGCTTCTAATACTGAACAGGAGAAAGGTAAAGATTTACAAGTTATATTTACAAGGAAAATGATGAAAGAGCAACCCCGAGTGCAAAGGTTAAAGGAGTCAGACAATGAAAGGGCTTAGACAAGCTAAGACGCTGGCAGCCAGAGTTTAAGCACCTAAGACTTCTCACACACACATCTAAGAGCAACAGCAGCGTGGGGTGGGCTGGTCTAAGGACAGCTTACCTCTAAAAACTGTCTGAGGCGAATGAAGGAACCCATCTGTCCTGAGCTTGTGACGGCTTCAATTCTATGAAGAGGAAAAGAGGCACGTGATTCCACCTACCATTTGAGGGGGTGTGTGTCTATACATTGCTGATCTAGAGCATAGGTTTTCATACTTATTTGTCTTAACATTCCCTTTTCAGGAAAAAAAAAAAAAGACTCCCCCCTCAGGCAATTGAGAACTTTTGTTTGATAGCCCATAACCCATCATAGAGTGTAGGTATCTGCTTTTTGCAATCTGGATTGTTCCTGAGTGCCCCAGGAGTGGTACTGCCAACTCTGGGTTGGCAACTGGAGTGAAGTGGTTGATCAGATGACTCAGAGAGATATCTTTTAGACCAAGGTTGTGGTTCCCCTTCCAAATGGTCCCAAGCGTCTTTACAAATAAGGGGCTAGAGAAGAAAATTGTCCCCTTTCAAGGAATCTTTAGTCAGAAGGAATGGGTTTTGCCAAGGCTTCCTCCCTCCCTTGCCACTCGAAATGCCAAAGAACTAAATGGAAAGAGAAGGGTGTTTAGAGGTAAATATCAGACCACAGCTAAACTTTGATAAGTCAGTTTCTACAATTAATTTATTCAGGAGACTTCATTCTGGTTTAATGCATGACTACATGAAGTAAAACTCCAAATTATTATCTGAAGGAGTTAGAAAAAAAGAGTAATAAAAAAATGACTAGGTTTCTTAATCCAAGACCTTCCTAGTTTATTTTTGTTTGGTTAGACAATAATATTTTTACTGTCATTAGAGTAAAAAACATACATCCATATATCAAAAAGGCAGCCAGAAGTAGGAAGCTGTCATCATTGCATAGAGGAAGTTGTCATATTAACACAGAAGATTCTGACCTGAGTCGAAAACAGTAAGTAATAGCACCCAAGGTTACCTGGTGCCCGAGTTTTACCTACTGAACCCACTGCCACCTGCTCAGCAAGTCTGATACCTGGGGAAGTAGTCTTCTTTGATGAGAAGTAGCATCTTCCAGAACTGGACCTGGTACTGTTTCATGAGAGCATTGCCACACACCTGTAGGGAAGACGGGTACTGTCAGAACAAAAAATGAAAATTCATACTCATATGAGATGTCCACAGTGAAATCTTTGCCTTTCACCTTTATATAATAATTTGGCCACAATGCCATATAGCTAGCTGACCAAGGGACTTCAATGAAAGCTGTAACTCTCTCCTAAAGAACTCCTCTCTATCTATCTGGTAATATCTCCATGTAGCCAGCATGCCAGTGAAGCCAGGTAGTTCAGAAATTTAAAGCAAATCAAAGTACCTATTTTGATTTTATTGTACTGAATAAAGACCTTTCTACAGGTAGTACAGGTAGTAACGTACGTCCCAACTTTAGGTAGTATACAGAGCTATCACCTATGTTCTCATGGGTTCAGGGTCACTGTTCACGCGACTTTGGGGAATAGTAAGGTGACTAGGAGCTATTGGCATTCTAGGCCATGTGTTTTCAGATGTTATGACACATGCCCCATGCCTTTCTTCTTTAATAAATGCCTCCTCTCCATGAAATTCTTCACGCTACAAGCATGGTCTTCCATAAGCGGACAGGACTGTGCAGAGTTTGGGATAAGGGCGAGAACTGCCTCGAGCTGCATCGCCATCTTTTGTCTCCTGGAAATGAGAACAAGGAGAATCTAGCTAGCTGGGTGAGACTCAGAGTGGCATACTCTAGGGTGGTCAACTCCTCTGTGTACAGAGAACTGTAAAAAGTTAGCCTACTACAGGGAGAGCAGATGTGAAATGCCACTTGGTTATGGCTCCAAAGAGATTCTGTCTTGGTCGGTCTAGTTTCCGATTACATACCTGGGTAAGGTTCAAATAAACATACTTTAATTCTGGAAGTCACTGCTCCGTGGCTACAACAAACTCCTTTTTACTTGTGCTACAACACACAGTTTAGATCTCTTCTTGCAATTTACAGACGTCCACACAGGGAAGGAAAGTAGAGTTGGAAGCAAAAGCGAAAGCTCAATTTGTCTTAAGGCTAAGGGAAAATGCATGACCCTCTTTCTGTGACGTCTCCCTGTTCATGTCATCGAGTGGCCCTTCGCTGCTTCAAACACGGGCTCGCTGGTATATAACAGCATTACACACCTCCAGAAAGTCAAAGAGTAGGGTGGCTGTCACATCTGACAGGGGCTCCATGTTCAAGATCTGTGCCAACCAGCGCCAGCCATGGTTTAAGCCATGCGGGTGAATCTGCGAATAGAGGAACTTGGTCATGATTGGATCTCATTTTATTCCAAGATTTAAACTCCTACTGTCTTTATCCAGCAAATTCAAAGGGGGCATGGGCTCTTGCTTGCTTCAAACAAGGAGCAAAGGTCAAAAACACTACAAACCAACTCAATTGGTTTTAAATGTTCCAATACATTTTTTTTTAAATCACTTTATTGGGGGCTCATACAACTCATTATAATCCATACACACATACATTGTGTCAAGCACATTTGTACATTTGTTACCATCATCATTCTCAAAACATTTGCTTTCTGCTTGAGCCCTTGGTATCAGCTTTCCCTCCCTGCACCCCCCTCCCTCATGAACCCTTGACAATTTATAAATTATTACTATTTTGTCATATCTTATACTGTCTGACATCTCCCTTCACCCACTTTTCTGTTGTCCATCCCCCAGGAAGGTTATATGTATGTAGATCCTTGTAATTGGTACACCCCACCCTCCCTCCACCCAATACATTCTTTACAGGATTCCTTTAATACACCTATCATCTATAGAATTCATAAGCAAACAGTTCCCTTTCATACCTCTTATTCTTGGTACCTTAGCACAGAATCTGGGCCCCTGAACAAATGATTCTGATGATCTCAAGACGTATCCTAATAATCAATACAATTTCTGTTGCTACAACGTAGCAACATACTCATTATTATTAAACTAGACTACCTTCTCTGAGAGAAGGTAACCTTTCCTGCAGACGGAGACACCAAGAAAGAATAGGGTCCAACCTCTTGTTATCCACAGTCAGCCTTTTCTACGAACCTCTTGTTGGTTTCCATATGGCCACCGGAGCTGGATAATGGCAGCATAGAGCCGGATCATCCCAGACATGCGCTTGAGGAAGTTGTCCTGCTGCTCTACTTTGGAATCCTTCACCTGGTACCCGAGCATCCTGGGTGGGGGGAACACATGCTCCGTGACAAAGCCACAGTAAGGGCAACAAATCAGAGATGACGTGTCACAGCGGCAAGTGACAACGACCAAAACTAGGTTGCTGAATTAGCTGGGATTTAATACAGACAACACATCATTCCACACTTCAATCACATCAGGCAGAATTGTGCGACTGCTACCGCAAGCAGTTTCTAACCACTCTTTTTCTACCAATACTATTTTTAGGATGATTATTAGCACACTGTTATATACGATTACATTTGTGAAACCCAGCTGACGCGTCAATAATACAGTTTGAACGGAATGGGACCACTTCTACAGAGATGTTTTACAATAAATACACGGGAACACTTTTTGGAGATTAGTGACAATTTGAAAAAGTCACTGACACATTGCATAACCTAGAAATATCAACAACAAAAAACTGAGAAAAAGTTGGTATGTCACGAATTCATAAATGTACATACTAATCTATTTTATCATTTATTACCATAAAATATATACTAGCCTATTATAAAAAGTCACATAAACACACATAGTACATGGCAGCATTAATAGGGAAATGTAAAAAAGCATAAAGATGAGTATTAATCATAACAGCATAAAACAGAAATTGCATTAGCCACTACCCGCTGGTATTGCTGGGAGCTCAAGTGCTGAGGGGAACCCACCTCCCATGCTGGGCAAGGCAGTGAATGACTTAATGGGGCACTTTCAGCCAAAGTCTAAATGCCACAAAAGGACCTTTTCCCGCATGGGTCTAAAAAGAAGGTGGGGGAAGACAGAGACAGGCTTCACCTACGAGGCACTGGGAACAGGACCCCCTAGAATGCCATGCTGCTGTCATAGAAGGAGCCCTCTGAGAAGCAGGAGGCGGGATCCCATTATGAGGAGGAGCCAGGAGTGGAGGGAGTCCTCTGGACCGAAGGTGACCCCCTGGATGCAGAGGACAGCTGTGGCGTCAGAGGAAGGGCAGCAGCAAACAAGAGCCAGAACATAAACAGAGGTGGACTCCCCGCCCACTGAACGAGGAGGGGCTGAGTGCTTTGGGTCAGAAGCTGCCTTGTGGAGTGGAGTCCCTCTCGTCACCCGACGGGGAAACGGCTTGCTGACCCATGGAAATGGAGCCCCGTGTCTGTGGAGGGGTGCGTGCCTTTGGGCAAGTATTAGCAGACCTAGAACTGTGCGACATGTCCTGAGGAATAATTGTATCCTGAGTGTGTCTCACTTGTACTACAACCGATTTTCTTCCTTAAAAAAGCTTTTCATCATAAATATCGTCTGTGGGCACTGCGTAGCCACTGCAATGGACATTAAAATGCAGGGTAAAATGGAGAGGAGCGCAAGCAACACAGCCATGTGACGCGCAGCATCTCTGCTGGAACTGCTCCTTTCTCCAATAAAAAGCCATCTCTCTGTTTTCTTATCTTTTTTCATGGCGCCCCAAGACTATAAACCTGACCACCACATGGGACCAGTATAAAGTGCCACTAGTGATACTGCAAATGTTCCCAAAGAGTAAAGTCATGACGGTACAAAAACAAAGGTTCAAGCTGCTTCATAAGAAGCGCAGGTTGCGTTCTGCAGCTGCGGCTGTCCACCGCTTCAAGAACAATCGACTGTACAAAAGGAATGGGCCCCATGAAGCCGGCACTGCC